AGTATTGTAGAAATTCATTTCACCGAAACAATAACGTGGCGCACAGTGTGACGTCAAAAAAGGCGCACACCTTTGACGCTGCGTTTTCTCAGTTTTCTCAGTTTTTCTCGTCCACACGTAAATGCAAAAACGGAGTTTTCAAAAATCTCCGTTTTCAGTGACCGAAGACGGCGTTTACGTGTGGGCGAAAGGTGCAAACGCATAGAAAAATCTGCGTTTTCAAAAATACCCGGGTACGTGTGGACGTAGCCTTAGTAGGACTCTTGTGTGCTGATAGATTTTAACTAAAGTATAAACCTAGATAATGTGTAACCAGGTTTCCGTAAGGCAACATAAATCAGTGTGTTGATCAGTTATTAAATCATATGATATCAGGAACTTAGAAGAAAGTGACCTAATGTTTAATAATCTATATTTAACTGATCTACTGTTTGGTGTATTTCAGGATGATATTTGTAACTCTTCCCTTTAATTATTATTATCATTTTCTTTTTACAATTTCATTACTATACTGTAGCGGGTCAGGGCTGTTCGGGGTTCTGTTTGTACAGTTATATTTTGTTTATGTTGCCAAAGTGACAGGTGACGCCCTCTCGCTGCGACGGTGTGTCCTTCCGGGGTCACAGGGCGCCCTGTGTGTTGTTGTTGTTTTTCGCTGTGTGTGGCCGCGCTGAGCATTAGCTAGCGGCAGTGTTTTTCTAGAATTGTTAATAAACGGCTGTGCTCCCTGGCTAGCTCACGGAAGCAAGACCAAACGACTCCTTTTCTGAGCTCGCCACAATACTTTGTATTTTGTCAGTCTTTTGGGTTTTAGGGAGATGACAGGAGGAGGGAAGCTGCAGAGAGGCACGTGAGACTGCGCCTCTGCTTCCTGGTCCCAACTTTGAATAGTCAAATTGTGGGAGGTTAATAAATGAGCCAAATTTCTAAAATGAGAGCTGCACCATTCAATGTATAGCATAGGTGTTATCTTTCCTAACAAGACCAGGACTTCCCTGTCTGTCAGTTATCTTAAAAGACCTCATTGGGTCGTTTTTTTTGTTTTCTCTTGGAAATAGTCTACATAGCTAGAATGATGAGGATGTACACATCCGGGACAGGGAGGAACGCTGGTTTGAACACGGAGTCAAGGAAGCCATTTACGTGAAAAGGGAAAGACCATCTCTGAATCGAGGAGTGGACCTAAGGGTACATCTTTCGCCATCTTACAATGCTGTGATTGCAGCCATTCCCCAACTCTCTGTGAATGGTACTCATGGCCATTGATCAATGGTCTTTGATCAGTGGTTGTTGATCAATGTTCATGAGAATTTGCACAAATATTTTGAAGGAACTGACATTGTTCCTTCACTGGGCTGGTTTCAGTCATTATGCAAATGTACTGTTTATAAGATTGGGGAAACCTGCAGTCAGCTGAGACTGAAGAAGTCACTTGGATGAATGATGAAACGTTTCTCCCACTGAAAACGTTTCATCCAGATGAACAGAATCAACTTTTGGAGATTTGAAAAAACATGTTGTTGTAAGGTTTTGAGCTAAATGTGGAAAAATGTTGCTGTTAATTTCAACATGTTTCACTTTACAAAAGGCACCCCATACACAATCCTTCAAAAAATATTAGACGCCACGATATTATTTATTAATAATCTTGCTTTTATAAGGCTTTTCAAATGATCCAGTTGTGCAGCAGTGTTTTTAAAATATCTTCAGGGTAATTTGGGGGAAAAAATAAATAAATAACAAATAACAGGTGTAAATAACATTATTTTTCTTATGAAAAATAAAACACTCCATGAATACAGATACATTTTCAGCAGATTATTTTAAATGAGTGGGGGCTATGTTTTGTTTGGTTGGGTTGACTCTCTACTGTTGTGTCTGGCGAGCAACTCAGAGCACCATCATACCAGTATAAATATTTCAAAAGGATGCCAGTCACGGGGGATAATAAAACAGGCCTTGGGACCCTGGTGGTGGTCTTGTTGTCTTGTTTGCTTTAGTGTGGGCCAGAGACTGATAAGAGGCAAGCTTCCTCAGAGTACTGTTGATCATTTAATTAAAAAAAACACACTTTAGTCAAAAATAATTTTATTGAGAAAAAATGTTAATTTCACCAGTGAAATACAATATTTTACACCTACTATACACTAATTCATATTTATATCTCAGTTGTTGGGGGGGGGGGGGGGGTTGTCTCACAATAGCTAGTAATACATTTTAAAGCTGAAGATACAAAACTATTCATTTTTAAAAATGTGTTATTTTTAGCTGTATTGAAATAGACTTCTCTCCACACATTCACTAATAAAAAACAAAATGTTTTAAGGTTTTTCTCCTCACTCATATATGACTTTTCAACTATGCTTGTCTGAACTTCATCTTAGTCACAGATGGAATAACAAATGGCCAATGAAGGTGCTGTGGTTGTTGTTATTATCATAAATCCAGGTGTTTGCACGGAGCCTCATGTACACCTGGTCTCCTGCAGCCAGCTGCAGAGTCATGCCATTGGTGGCTGTCTCATAGCGATTTCCAGCAGCATGGTTGTACACTGTCACCATCTGCTCTCCATTCTTCATCAGACGCAGCCCCATCGGTCTAGATGAAAAATTATGACCAGAGAAGCTGAAGTAATAAACTCCTCTGACCGGAGCAGTGAAAATACCTGGAGATGATGGACACAGTTACAGCTTATAAGGCATTAAGAAGAGCAGTGGTAGTGAAATGCAGTACAAATACTGCAAAACTAACAAATAAACCCATGTGTACAAATACATATAATTATGGTAAACATACCTGTTGCAGGGTTGAAAGAGCCTGAGTTAAAGTAGACATTCCTGTAGACCAGTGTGATCTCTGTATTGAATGGTCCAATATTTCCAACATCACTGATGGATGCACCAAATGCCACTCGACTGCCTTGTGGTGTAGCGTGAAAATAAGACATTATTAAAATGGAAAACATGGAATTAATGAAATAGCTGTGCAGTATGATCTTACCTTGGATCTCTGACCTCAGATTCGCCAACTTTTTCTCAAACTGCTTCTCAGTGTCCTTCAGCTTGGCCTCCAGTTCTTTTAACATTAAAGCAAGTTGGATGTAGTTTCTCTCATTCCCTGCTGAACAAGCTGCATTGATGACAGGACTCTCAGTTGGATTGGCTTCTCCTGCTTGGCCGTCCAGCTGACTTACCTCAGCCACACACAGGTAGAACAGGGAGACGGTTAACACAGTCAGTAAGGTCTTCATCATTTCACTCGTTCTGTTTCTCGGGATATGCTGTCAGTGCCTCTCCCTACAAGGCATTATATAGCATACACTAAAAGGAAGTAACCTTGTTTATTTTCTCAAAACAAAAAAACACATCATCATCTTTGTCATATCTTTTATTGTGTTGTATCAAAGGTTATTTTTTATTAGGCTTTTACAAGTAAACAACAGGATTTCCTTACACACGTTTCCATTCAGGATGTGTATGTCAGCAAATCACTAAGCTTACTGACAAGATAGACAACATTTAATTGTTTTTCTTAAATCATTATAACAGATGTTGGTGTCACTTACATTTACAGCCATATAGACACCACCACATAGTATTAACACATTGTAATGTTTGGAAACTGGCTTTTTATGTACAGTGTTAACACTTTATGCCACAGCTGCTCTATTAACAGTTTTGGTTATTACAGAAATTGTTTTTATGTTTCTGTAAAGATTAATCCACCAGTGTGCACAAGCACTTTAATCAAAATGACTTTTTTAGTATTAAAATATATTCTTGTTTGCCATGCATGAATTTCCAATTTTATTATTTTACAAAAAAAAGCAGCAAATTCAGCATCTTAATGAAAAATAATTTTCTTCACTGTTTTCAGTGAAGAAAATTATTATTTTTGCTTTTTGCTTGATTGAATTCTGACTCTGAGACGTCCAGTGGGCTTAAATATGGGTAGAAAAACATGCATTCAATCATTTTTAGGTTTGTATGGGAGTTATAAAATAGTTGTTTTCTTGTTGTAATGACAGGTGGTCTATATCTGTTAATACTGTATGTATTACTGATTATATACAGTATCACACACATTAATGAGTGCATCTGAGGCGAACAGGGGCTCAGCTCCTTTTTAAAGACATTGGAAATCTTATTACATGAAATGGATGAACTTCTCTCCCTACTGAACCACAGCCAACCTGTGCTGTGTTTTGTGTCATGACTAATAAGGACGTACTTCAGAATATGAACAGCAGGCAAACGTGAACAAGTCATGAGTAATGTTGAAGAATATAATACACTGAGGGTCTTTTTCGTAAAGTATCAAACAGTTTCCACGTGATTGGTCTGCCAAATGAAAGATGTGAAAGGACAGCGAGATAAAACAGTGATGCCGAAATGTTTTCATGACGGCATCAACAAATAATAAAAAATGACCTGTGCAGATCTGATTATTGATTAACTGCCTCATGTCCCACTGAGTAGTTAATTTTTATTTTCCTTTTTGCCTCACTGCTTGCAGAAGTCTGATTGTGTACAAGTGTGGATGAGTCACTCTGGTCTTGGAGGGAACAGTGAAGAAAAGGCCTCACATTTCCAGGGACTGAAATAGACTAAATGCTCTGTGTCTGCCTCTCACACTGAGCACTGAGTGGGAGGACATAGCAGACACAGAGGTGCTCTCAGCTCCCCCACATTCATCCAGCACGTCTTATCTCCATTTTCGGTCCATTTTATATTGCCAGTGATGCATGAATGTTTCAGCTAATCACGGTGACTTCAGTGCTGAATATTTATTTCTTTTAAATCTATATCAATAAATATTTACAGATGCGTCAAATGAGGCTTTAGACTCTTACAGTTTGAAACGAGGATGTGAAGGTGAATACTGAAGCTGTGTCCAGTATGTCCACAAGAGGGCAGCCCTATATAGCCGAGAAAGAGCTGAGAAACCCTAGAAAAGTCAGTTCAAATAAAACGTTTCATGTAGGTATTCTTATGCTTAACACTGCAGAAGTTACAAAGGAGTGATTACAGCTCAGCAAGGGATGAAAGTAAGATGGAGACTTCAGTTTATCACAGAATCATTTGAAAAGGTTTGAAAGTTAAATGGCGTGCACTGACAAATCTGTTGTTCAAAAGTGTCTGTTGTTGGGGCTCATTTCTGCGGGAAAACAAAACGAGACGGCAAAGAGAGCTGAGGTTCAGAGGCTGTCGGATCGGTGCGCAGACAACAACCTGGACCTTAATATCACCAAGACAAAAGAGCTGGTAGTCGACTTCAAAAGGAGGAAGTCTGAGCTGCAGCCTGCCAGAATCAACGGGGAGTGTGTGTGGAAAGGGTGTCCAGCTTCAAGTTCCTGGATGTGCACAGACACAGACCTCCAATGGTGCACCTCGGCGGTTTTCAAGAAGGCCCAACAGTGTCTCCATTTTCTGAGACTCCTCAGAAAAATGGACCTGAAGAAGGAGCTGCTGATTGTCTTCTACCTTTACTCCATTGAAAGTGTGCTGACATACTGCATCTGTGTGTGGTTCTCCAGCTGCACCACAGCACACATAAAAGAGACTTCAGAGGGTTATCAATATAGCCCAGAAGGTCACTGGACATCCACTTCCCTCCCTGAAGGACCTGTACAGCAGTTGCTGTCTCAAGAGGGCACACAGCATCCTACAGGACTGTACACACACAGGACACCGGGCATTTAAGCTGCTGCCATCTGGCAGGAGATTCAGGCTGCTCAGGTCGCGGACAAACAGACTCAAGGACAGCTTTTACAACAGGACAATAGACCTAATCAATGCTGACCCGATTGGCTACCTCCCTGGACTTTTTAATAACAATTACAACAACAACAATAATAATAACAATGTGCAATAAAAACATGCACTCATTCTTTTTATTTTTTTATTAAGTTAAGTAACTGTGTTGTGTTGTGTTGTGTTGCATAGTGCAGACACAGGACAGTTTCCAATTTCGCTGTACTATTGTACTTGGTATGACTGTAATGACAATAAAGAGTTATCGCTTATCTCTTAAGGACTCCATGTTATTTTTCAAAAGAAAAAAAAGACTTCCTCAGTTTAATGTCTTGTATGGAGAGAAACAGACTCTGTACTTGAGCTGAGATCCCACCATGAGTACACTTTGCATGGCATCCTGTGGGACATCTCCTTCTCTAGCATCTTTTGAGATATCGTGATCACCACTCTATGAGTAATGGCGATCCTCCTTTGAGCAGAATTTAAAACAAAAACAAAGCCAGAAGTTAATTTTAGTTTTTTAGTAGTGAAATACCTCAAAATGATATATTTGACTATTTTTTGTCATTGCTGTGATTCAGAAGTAATATTTAACTCTAAATTTTAAATCTATGATGTTCAGTGCCTATTTTAAACAAGGCTAAAGTCAATTAATGAGGTCTGTGAGTGCAGACATTACACCAACCTGTTATTCAAAGTTTCTGTTTGCAAGAGGCAGCCAATGAGAGGACAGCTGGCCTAATGGGGAGGTTTTGAATCCAGAGAAGCCCAAAAAGCTATTCTGCATTTCAGTCCATAAATTCAATATGCTTTGTTTATTAGTTTTGACAGATTGTTATATTGAATAAAAATAATAATAATAATGTAATAGCATTATTCTACAGGGGTCCTTCAGGGCTCTTTACTTGGTCCACTACTATTTACATTAGTAACTTTAGATCTGTGACATCTTGTCTGATAAGTTTACAGCAAAGCTATCTCATTGTTGCTGGAAACTTGCCACAGGCAAGCAGTCAAAGCAAAAGCCATTCTCTGTGCATTTTTACTTTGATAACTTCATACATACTTATCTTGGCTCAGGATCCTTCAAAAAATATTATATTAGAGGATATTATTTGAATTTATAAGCCTTTTCAAACTATCCAGATATACAGCGATGCTTTATGAATAAATAACATAACGTAGTAAATAAAATTAGGGACTGCATAAAAAATGAAACACTCCATGAATACAGATACATCTTAAGCAGATCCTTTCAAATAGGGCAGTTTATTCTCTTCTGTTGTGTCTAGCGGGTGACTCAGAGCAGCATTATACCAGTCTAAATATTTTAAAAGGACAGCAGTCATGGCAGCTAATAAAGCAAGCCTCTGGACCCTGATTGTATTCTTGCAGACCTGTTTTGCTTTAGCGTGTGCAACGGCATGTGCAGAAACAAGTTTCCTTACCCGTTTCTTCCTTTTAATTCATTCTCCCCCAGAAGGGAGGAACAATTTAGTCAGTTCTGTTAGTTTGTCTGTCCTGCAGTCTAACGTCCACAGTTTTCAGCATATGTTCAAATTTTGTGTGATGGTAGACACCAATAACAGCCTGACCTCATTAAATTTTAGTGAAATGTGGGTCCAGGTCACACTAAATGTACCCACAGTTTTTTATGGATCATCTTCAAACTTCACCAAAATATACTAGACCTTGGGGGGGGGGCATGAGTACCTAGGTTGGCTAAGCATTTGACATTGATCTTCATTGTTAGCCCCCAAAAGTCAAAGTTAATCTTGAAAAACAACAAACCATATCAAATATAATATCTCAAATGAAAGGACATAAAGAGAGCTGTAAAACACACTTTGTTTTTTCAATATGACGCAGTATGACGTCACAATGATGCCATAAAGTTTAGCAAAATCACAAACTCCATGAAAACATCGTAAAATTTCAGGTTTTTCCAGATTATAGAAGCCAAGGATTATAGCCAATCATAGGGGTAAAGATAAAGCATTACATACTAAAACTGTGTATTTTTTAAGGTCATAGGTCAAAGGTCAGGTGTTGTTATGAAAATAGGCTGATATCAGCATGTTGTAATAAAACATTAAAAGTTATATCACCCTTGCCCTGTGGGAGGAGTTGTGCTCTCTGAGTGCTGTTGTTGCTGATGCTTTTGTGTGTTTTATGTTTCCCTTTGCACATACACTATATTGCTCTCTGTAAATAAAGTATGTGTAAAGTTAAAACAAAGCACCTTTGCATTCTTTGACAGCAGGTTAAGTCATTTGCATGTGACTGATAATCGTAATCCATTTAGTGGGTCTGCTTGCTCTGGAATCGTTGCCTCGCCGCCTGCGGAAGTCTGATTGTGTACAAGCGTGGATGAGTCACTCTGGTCTTGGAGGGAACAGTGAAGAAAAGGCCTCACATTTCTGGGGACTGAAATAGACTAAATGCTCTGTGTCTGCCTCTCGCACTGCACACTGAGTGGGAGGACATAGCAGACACAGAGGTGCTCTCA